ACTGACATCCAAGCAGATATATGCACACCCATGTTTATCACGGCTCTGTTCACAATAGCAAGGAGTTGGAAACAACCCAGGTGCCCATCAACAAACGAATGGATTGAGAAGCTGTGGTATATTCACACAGTGGAATACTGCACTGCATTGAAAAACAAGGAACTCATGCAATATTATTCAAAATGGGTGAGCCTGGAGGGCATTATGCTGTCGCAAAAGGACAAATATTGCATGGTGCCACTGCTGTAAAATGGGGCTGATATCAGGGTTGGGATAAGACTGAGAAAAACTGGATAGATAGAATATACTGCACTGAAATAGATGAGGGAGTGAATAATTTAAAAGCGATATATGATAGGGTATTATGGTTATCACAAGAGTCCACAATTAAGGTTGCATAGTGGAATGTACTTGGGGCGATGGGAGGGGTGCGGGGAAATTGTGTACCAGGGAGGGAGTCTTTCTTTTACTTTTGAAAGAGAGGAGCGAACGGGGGAAGGGAGGGCTGGGTGGGGAGAGAAGTGCAGCAATGAATTAATGGAAATCCAAACTCTCTGTAAATGTTCATTAAAATTATTTTTTTAAAAAAAAGAAATTCTATATTCCTTATTTCTTCAGTTATTTTCATTTCAGGTGTACTGTTGCAGGGCAGTAAAATTTGAACCATTTCATTCAATGGACATCTCTTGGGTATATATTACCTGCTAGGTATAGTACTATCTGCTTGACATGCATGGTAGAGTTCTGGTCCACCAGGAAACTATCATATTAGGTGGCCATGGATTCTTTAAGTAGGATGTTTGGCACACAGGTGACTCTGAAAGTATATCATAGTCTATAGTTAGTTGTGTTAAAGCAAGGGTTACCCCTGCTTGGAGGTTCAAATCTACTAGCAGCTCTGGGACAGAAAGAAGGAAGATGAGGCATGAGGTATTAATCAGCTCCAACTAGGCAACAGTGAGTTTGAGTGGACCTTCTTCCTGACCTACTTCCTAAATAAGGAAACTGATTCTACAGTATGTTACAGAAATTTACCATAGCTCTTGGAGTTCTTGAGTGGTGCAAACAGCACACTTGACCAACAAAAGAAAGGTTGGAAGTTCATCAAGTGAAATTTTCAATGAAAATGTTGATGATAGACTTCCCAGAAATCAGTCCTTGGAAACTCTATAGAGCACAGTTGCCTTTAGACACAAATGAAGTCACCTTGTTTCAGCATCAATTCAATAGTAACTGTATTGGTGTTAACAATATGTGTTAACAATAACAATATGTGTTAAGAGATTGGTTGGTGATAGTGTTAAATCTATATCACCATCCTTTGAAGTGGTAAACTTAGCTTCATTTTTTTAAAAAAAAGCAATAATAATAATAAAGTATTGAGAACTAGAGATATAAAGCTATTTTTCTGAGATCAAATTTATAATAAAGTTATAAAACATGTTCTCAAAATTACTTTATTTCAGACTCTAGAATCTATTTGTATTCTTCTTCACCATTCCTACTTCATGGTCCCAGAGAGAATAATCTGTGTCATTTCTAAAACAAAAAATACATAAAAGATGTAGAAACTGGACAAGAAATGGAAATTAAAAAATTTTAAAAATCCCAGAATTCTATATTTCTTCTTTGCACCTCAGAATATAGAGAAGTTGGAATAGCAAGAAAATAGGACAGTGTTTCTCCAAAGACTATGTTTCCATATCCAAGATATACACCCAGATATCTCAGAATGCTTATACCACGTCCTGTACCCCAATAACTCTCAGTACTAGGGACTCAAGACTGTTGAGTCCCAAAAGTTTTATCTCAAGATTTGAGGCAGGAGGTAGATAAGCTTCGAGGATTTAGAAAAACCAATGTAAGTAAGACGATCTCCCGCAAAGGGTTTATAACCAGATCTCTTAGAAGATAAATATTTGCCAATGTCTGAGCATTGAATTAAACACATACAGATATGGAACCAGATATGTGTATGTGAACACAAGATACTGAAAGTCTACAAAAAATAGACAACTCTGTTCAGATCAGGTTTCCTAGAACAGCTAGCTTAAGGACAGCGCAGAGCTCACCAATGAATAACCTTTTACAGGGACCATCTTTAGGTGACATCACCCCACCAGCCATCCCACCCATCAGAGGCATCTGGTCACAATCTGCATATGTTACATCTTCAAACACTCCTTTGTTACTCTCCTCTGCCTCATCCCGTGGTAACCAGCTTCCCTATAAAACAATAAGTTTTCAAAGTCATTGTCTTTGATTTACTGAAAGAATCTATCTTTTGACCTTCTTCTTTGGCAGAATTCACTTCATTGGCTAAGCACCTCAATTCCTTCCATTCACTTGTCACATCATGGCATCACTGCTGAAGTTTTGCATGTCTAATGATGCCCTGCTAAAGCTTGGTCATGGTGTATGCTAACACTGTGCGTATGTTGTTTTGAATAATGACAGTGATGCTCTATGCCCCTTTGAAAGGTGGCTTGCTTCTCTGATTTGAATTTTTTTCAAAGGAATTGGCAAGAGGAGGTTACTGTGAAAGAAAGGTCCCACCCTCATGCCTGAGACCGCCTTCCTTCCTAATCTTTTAAAAAGAGTCCTTGTGGCCTTTGGTGGGAAGACATGAGCCAGACTCAGTGACAAGAAGTGATGGAGACAAAGCCAAGGCAGAGAGGACCCTACAGCCCTCCTATATTCTCCTGTGTATGCAGATTTCTTTATACTGATTTTTTCTTTAGAAATAAGGGAAGTGGGGATTGTGAACTTGAGATTCTACCCTCAAATATGGTCTTGAAACATGTGGATATATCTTAACTAGTGGAAGAGGAATGTGTGAAGATGCAGGCTGTTGCTGTTGTTAGATGCTGTCAAGTCAGGTCTGACTCATAGCAACCTATGAACAGCCAGCCTGAACCCTGCCCTATCCTGTGCCATCCTCATCATCTCTGACACACATTGCTGAAGTCACCATGGCCAATCTATCTCATTGGGGGTCTTCTTCTCCTTCGTTGACCCTCCATCTTTTCCAAGCATGATGTTCCTTTCCAAGGAATAGCCTCACCTAGCTACATGTCCAAATTATGAGAAATTTCTCCATCTCTGCTTCCAAGGAGCACTCTACTATTTCCATGAGGTATCTGATTGTTTTTTTGACAGTCCATGGGAGCAGAAGTTGCAGGCTAGTGCGCTGGAAATTATACCTAACCTCCAATTATTCTTTTTCTTATGCAAGTTTCTTACTGCAGAAAAAGAACTAACAAAAATTATCTAGAATTTGTGCAATAGTGCACAACATGGATGAAACTAGAATAAATTATGCTGAGTGACATAAATCAGTCACAAAAAGGCAATTATGGTATAAGATGCCTAATATTAAAAGCTAAGGAAATATTTATATACAGAATCTATCTTGGAGGATTAACAGGGATGACAAAAGAGGGATGTTGTTATTGTTGTTTTTAAGTGCCATCAAGTGGTAGACAACTTATAGCAACTCTATGAATGAAAGACCTGAACAATTGTATAACTTTCATCATATCTCCAAGTTCATAGAGTTTCTGGAGGCCAGCTAT